TGTATGTATGCTGCATATCCCAATTTGATAATCGTGCACTCCCAAGATCCCGCAGTCATCGTGTCAGCAGCTACATGACTCAAACAGAATAGCAACACATACACGGCCATAGCTCCACACATGCCCTCGTCCGAACCTAGGAAGCCACTGATGCAAAGAGCGGAGGACAGCAAAAGGGTTATTTCAAGCCCAGCCGAAGCCAGGATATCGTGGTATGCTGCATCTCCCAATTTGATAATCGTACACTCCCAAGATCCAACAGTCATCGTGTCAGCAGCTATATGATGACTCAAACAAAATAGCAACACATACAGTGCCATTGCTCCACAAATGCCCTCGCCCGAACCTAGGAAGCCACTGATGCCATGAGCGGATGGCAGCAAAAGGGTTACGTCAAGCCCAGCCGAAGCCAGGATATCGTGGTATGTATGCTGCATCTCCCAATTTGATAGTCGTACACTCCCAAGATCCCACGGTCATCGTGTCAGCAGCTATGACTCAAACAGAATAGCAACACATACACTGCCATAGCGTCACGCATGCCGTCGCCCGAACCTAGGAAGCCACTGATGCCATGAGCGGATGGCAGCAAAAGGGTTACGTCAAGCCCAGCCGAAGCCAGGATATCGTGGTATGTATGCTGCATCTCCCAATTTGATAGTCGTACACTCCCAAGATCCCACGGTCATCGTGTCAGCAGCTATGACTCAAACAGAATAGCAACACATACACTGCCATAGCGTCACGCATGCCGTCGCCCGAACCTAGGAAGCCACTGATGCTATGAGCGGGAGACAGCAACAAGGGTTACTTCAAGCCCAGCCGAAGCCAGGATATCGTGGTATGTATGCTGCATCTCCCAATTTGATAGTCGTACACTCCCAAGATCCCACGGTCATCGTGTCAGCAGCTATGACTCAAACAGAATAGCAACACATACACTGCCATAGCGTCACGCATGCCGTCGCCCGAACCTAGGAAGCCACTGATGCTATGAGCGGGAGACAGCAAAAGGGTTATTTCAAGCCCAGCCGAAGCCAGGATATCGTGGTATGCTGCATCTCCCAATTTGATAATCGTACACTCCCAAGATCCAACAGTCATCGTGTCAGCAGCTAGATTACTCAAACAAAATAGCAACACATACACGGCCATAGCTCCACACATGCCCTCGTCCGAACCTAGGAAGCCACTGATGCAAAGAGCGGAGGACACAAAAGGGTTACTTCAAGCCCAGCCGAAGCCAGGATATCTTGGTATGTAGACNTCACAAACGCCCTCGCCCGAACCTAGGAAGCCACTGATGCCATGAGCGGATGACAGCAAAAGGGTTACGTCAAGCCCAGCCGAAGCCAGGATATCGTGGTATGTATGCTGCATCTCCCAATTTGGTAGTCGTACACTCCCAAGATCCCACAGTCATCGTGTCAGCAGCTATGACTCGCAAAATAGC